TACTTCAATTATTTGGTTTACATATTTCAATTATAACTGGTTCCCTAGCTGGTTAGTATCGGCTAAGTTCAAACTAAAGAGGTATAGAAACTACCTGTGTATCAAGGTTAGTTAATAGAGAACAGGTTACCACATAAACGAGTATGTGGGCAAAATCGCTTACGGGGGAGGAGAGGTGTCAGCCCCATGTGACGTCAAAATGAGGTTGGTATTACTTGGGAATTTTTAGTAACTTGTAATTTTGAGTTGGTGTGACCGATCAGCTGATGCCTGTAATCTGTACGACCTGTACCGCTAATTCTGACGTTTGGTGTTAGTACTGCGACTCGTGTAACCCTATTTTGCCTGTTTTGATATATTACTAGAAAGGAAAAAGTAAACCAGTAAATGCAGATTTTCAGATTTTTTTGCATAAAAAAAAATTGGTCTAAAGAGTTTAGACAGTACTTCCCTCGCTGTCGGAAACTTGATGACTGCATGCCTATTGTGTTTTTTTTCTCATTACATTTTTGTAGTGGGAATTTAAAAAAAAATTGCGATGACGTCATCAACATTTTTGCAAGGACACGTATATCAGTTGGGATAGATGTAGTGTAATACTAAGAATAAAATTATTATATTCTCAAATTTTCGGGAAAATGAATTGGGTCGTTTTGAATATTGATTTGTAATAATCAATAAAATAACGAAACAATTTACTCACGTATACGTATCAGCGGCAACTGAAAATCGTGTATGTATAAACATTCTTAATTTAAGATGACAGGCGTAACAGCATACGTGAGAGTCAAACAGAGAAACTGTAAACAAAACGACCATCGGTTTTATTGCTTCGACTTCCGCTTATTATATAAAACATTGGGTTTTATTTTAATTCTTGACGGTGAAATTCACAATTGGTTGATTATAAACATGTCTATTTCACATTCGCGGAACCAAGTGAACGCATAAAACAAATGCAGGTCTGTAATGTTAAAGTCGATGTAAATAAGCGTGCTACCCTTATGTCTCAACCGAGTTTTTCCTTTAACAAATTTTGTGTCTACCAAATTGGGTTGGTTGGGGTGTAATACTAATAATAAGTGTTGCCTTTAATTTAATCAATAAAATAAATTGACTTCATTAATTTTTTTGAACCACCTCTTAAGAAAATCTAAAAAATATGAATGGAATGATAAATCACAAGTACAAACTCATCATATTTTTTGCATTTTAGATAGGATTTATTCAGCAAAATTTAAGGGTGACGTCATCAATTTTTAGGAGGGATGAACAAATACATTTTGAACAAAAGTTTACCATGCTTATAATAACTTAAAAATATTCCCAAGATTTCAAAGCATTCGGTTTTGTAATTCCTGATTAAATCGATAAAATAAATTCACGCCTTCATTAATTTTTTTGAGTCACCCTGCATATGTAAATCCAAAAATATGAATGGAATGATAAATCACAAGTACAGACTCATCATATTTTGTACATTTTAGATACGATTTATTCGGCAAACTTTTGAGCTGACGTCATCAGTTTTTTGTAGAAGATAACCAAATATATTTTGACTAAAAATTTATTATGCTCTTTATAACCTTAAAACATCTGCAAGATTTCAAAGCATTCGGTTTTGTAGTTCCTGATTAAATCAATAAAATAAATTTACGCATTCATTAATTTTTTTGAGTCACCCTGTATATGCAAATCGAAAAAATTTGAATGGAATGATAAATCACAAGAAGAGACTCACCATATTTTGTACATTTTAGATAGGATTTATTCAGCAAAATTTTGTGGTGACGTCATAAATTTTTTAGGGGGGACGACCAAATACGTTTTGATCAAAAATTTACCATGCTTATGATAATTTTAAAATATCTTCAAGATTTCGAAGCATTCGGTTTTGTAGTTCCTGAGTAAATCAGTAAAATAAATTTACGCTTTCATTTATTTTCTTGAATCACCCTGTATATGCAAATCCAAAAAATATGAATGGAGTGATAGATCACAAGTACAGACTGATCATATTTTGTACATTTTAGATATGATTTATTCGGCAAATTTTCGAGCTGACGTCATCAAGTTTTTGGAGGGGATAAGCAAATATATTTTGACTAAACATTTATTATGCTCTTTATAACCTTAAAACATCTGCAAGATGTCAGAGCATTCCATTTTGTAGTTCCTGATTAAATCAATAAAATATATTTACGCATTCATTAATTTTTTTGAGTCACCCTGTATATGCAAATCCAAAAAATATGAATGGAGTGATAGATCACAAGTACAGACTCATCATATTTTGTACATTTTAGATATGATTTATTCCACAAACTTTTGAGCTGAGGTCATCAAGTTTTTGGAGGGGATAAGCAAATATTTTTTGACTAAAGATTTATGATGCTCTTTATAGCCTTAAAACATCTGCAACATTTCAAAGCATTCTGGTTAGCAGATAAAAATAAAAATTATATTTCAAAATGTTGTTTTATAATTTTGATTTTTTTCCAAAAATCTGGACGTTTCGGGTGAAAAGTCGATTCAGAGTTGTAAACTACATGTGTAGGACTATGTTATTTTATACAATTGAAAACCCATTTACTATGTACAATTTTGAAGTGACGTCATCGCATTAGTGGTGGGGATGATTAGACAAATTTTGGTTAGCGTTTTACCATCTACATGATATTCTTAATATAAGTACAAAATTTCACAACAATCGGTCGAGTACTTTCGGAGATTATCTGTCTAATAAAAATCCGGGACGGCAGACGGACGGACAGACGGACGGACAGACGGACAGACGGACAGACAGACGGAAATGGGAGACCTATTTCTTCGTCTTCTAGGGGTCATGAAAGATCAAGAAAACGTAAAAGTAGAGAGTCGGCCGACGGACTCGATTACAATACTTCCTTTGCTTACGCTCGGGAAGTAAAAAGGCACTGTGGCACTCAAAACTTTTTCAAATTCATAAAAAGTAGAACACTAAAAGCTTAAAAGATTTCTTCAAGTTCATCCAATAATAAAACACCAGATTCCTTTAAATTTATCCGAAAATAAAACACCAGGGGACCTAAAATTAACTGCGAACATTTTAAACGTAGGGTTTTGAAAACTTTGACAATTTTTTACGTCAAACATTTTCAACTTTTGCTAATTTGTACTTTCCCTTTATATCAGGTAAAGATTGTTGTCAAATGGAATTTTATCAAATTATTACAAAAACAAGACACCCGTATCTTTCTACATTCTATCTGAAATGATAATTAAACATAGTCATGGGCGAGAGAAATATTAACTAAAAGTTTTATTACTAGTTACTGTCATAATGATGTTTAGTTGTTAAACGGAGTAAAAGAACCGATTTTAAAATCATTATAACTCCACCAAAATGTGAGAAGGATTTTTTTACTATTTTTCCCAGACTCGCCAGTCGCTTCTAGTAGCGGAGAGTTAATTTTTCCAGAGTGTAATTTTTAGACAGTTCCAGAGTGTAATTTTTAGACAGTTTCAGAGTGTAATTTTTAGACAGTTCAGTTACAGACTCTTCTTCCATTTCCCTAAATAATAAAGGTTCTTATTTAAATAGAAACAAAGTTGTATGCACTGAACTGAACGAAAGAGTAGAACTAAAAAGTCCAATTCTAGAAATTAGCAAGATTGTTGAAGGCAATAACGATAAAGGAGAAATATGGAATGGACATCAAATATCCTTTACTAACACAATTCTCGGATGTTAATACATAAATAACTTCAAAAATGGATGACATTGGAGTTTCCTATACGAAAACATGTGTTCAAATTCGTCTTTACCACCACATTATATAATACGATGTTCTGGAACTAAGTATTTTGACACAAAATTTTGAAAAACCTTAACATGTGGTCAAGAAGTTAAAAATTTTGTAATGTAAACAACCTCGTAATTAATTGAAACACTATTTCAAATGAAAATACACAGAAGAACCAATTAATATCAAAATAAACAAAAAAATTCATTAAAGTACGTAATTCTATTCTAATTCGATTCGAATTCTAAAAAACTAAAGCAACTAGCTTCCTGATGAAACGATTTTTTTGAAATGAAAGAAAACTGAGAACACACGATTATTAGAGAAGCGGTAACATAAATGCGTCATTGATCGACTGCTATAGCTATAGCCCCCTAGAGCGCTTCAATAAAACTGATTTTATTTGCTATAAAAAGTAATTTTGGTTTATCGGCTAAATATTGCGTATTTGGTTTTTCGTTGTGTAGAACGATTGGTCTGTTTAGGTTACCTGTTTGATTAATGAGTGTCCATAACTGGTACGATGTTTATTATAATTTGTGCAAATCGATGATCGTCAATGAAAGTAAAATTGCTGTCGAAAAATCACTTGTTATTTTTTTTTTTTAAATAAAATTTACAACTAGTATTAAAATTTTAATAGACGAATCATATCACTTCGTAAAAGTTATGACAGGATTAGCATTAATTTTCTCTATTTACAATTAACGTGGACGCTTCGGTTGTACCTCGTGCCATTTCATACACTCCTCTTCGGAAATACACTCTCCTCCTTTCTTCATTCTCAAATAACCCTTTTTACACACACACCCTGGTAAGCATACGAAGTCTTGGCAACTGCGAGTATCGGTAAAAATGCAAGAAAATTCACAAAATGTGCAGTCAGTAAATTCTTCATTTTCTTTGCAAGTTACGGTAGCGTTTCTGCTGATTGCTTCTACACAAGAAAAAATAAATATAAATATTTTTTTATAGTTAAAAATTAACCTGGATCTACACAACTTTCCCTAGGTACACACTGTCCTCCTTCTTTTTCTCTAATATATCCTTCTTTGCATACACATCCTTCAGCACACGCATCTAAACATGGTCCTTGGTATGGTTTTTCACAGGTCTGTTGACACGTCAACGCATGGTCGGTGAAAATTTCGTTTGGAGGGCAAGTTTTACGCTCTTGCATAAATTGAAGTGAACGTATACAATTAGAGTTAGTATTTCGTAAGATTGAGAATAACAATAATAGTAAGAACATTAATTTGGGAAACATTGTCTTAACACTGATTGTGAGTGATGTGGCGCAAATGCGAAGCGCGACTGAAGTGGTCACAATTGCAGATAATGATTCCTGTTACTACAAATAAAATAGTTTATTATTAAATATCAAAATTGAATAAGTGTTATGTTTACAGCTAGAAGAACAGTACGAAGGCAGTGTTGGCCTAACGCTCAAAGTGACATCAGTAGCAGAAAATACGTAAACGAAGGCAAAATTTACTAGATTGTATAATGTAATGAGATTTACATGATAAGGGTTTCGTAGCTCGTTTGTAGTACAATAATGTACTAATCGCAGCCAAGTCACACTAAGCATTGTAGTCAAACGCAGCCAACATCGCTTATCATTTTCCACCAATTTGAATAATATGACTACTGAAATAATAAATCAACTGAAATAACAATGATCGCGCTGAACCTCGACTGCATTAATTAATTACTTTCCAGCCGATCTTTAAAAAAGCTGTTATCTCGTTGTTCGCAAAAAAACAAAAATCGATAAACTAATTTCGTAAATTAAATGGAATTTTCCTGTAGAAGAAAAATGATGAAATTGCTTTATTAGCTATACCAAGTGATTGAATATTGATTAATACCAAACAAAGGAAAACAGGGTAAAGATATTATTTAGCGATGATAAAAGATAGAATGCCTCATGTTTTATTTACGAATATGATTGGATTTTATCGATTGGACATCTGTTGAATTTACCTGTTTGCGGTTCTTAAAATAACTACTTTAAACGCTTTAAGTGTTGAGCTCGTGGCACAATTTCCTAAAAGGTTCACGTTTCTATTTCTAGAAAACGTCTGTTTTTTAAATTGATTTATTTATGCAAAATGTGTTAAGTAGGAGGTAAGCATGAATCACTAAATTATTTATCAACTCACAAAATTTATGTGACACAATTAAAATTAAAAAGGTCGAAATTTATGGTTAGTTTCAAAGGCAGCTACTTGTTATTGTGATGTCTTGATAATAACTGTTTTCTTTGCAAAAACAAAGCACTCGAGAGATTCACCTGACAAAAATTAATCGATATGGCACTATTTTTAGATGAAGCCTAGATTTTGACTTAATCTTTGAAAAAGTTTAAAAGTGGAGAATGCATAGGCAGCAACCAACTACCAAAATATTTGCACGTACATTTTGATTATCAATTCTGATCCAAATATTGTAGTCATAGCGGTCAATAGCTACTCAAGATAACGTACGAAAAACATATAAGGTCGAGAGTTTTTAAGTCGCAACAGTTCCAACTTCGTTTTCAATCTTAACGTAATTTTCTTTATAATGGACTACAAATTAATTCTTTTTCTTATATTATTTAGCATAATCTGGGAAAGTGCGTAAATCAAACCTGAGTTTAAACTTAATTATCTTATTCATTTTTTAGCCTCGACAGCAATAGAGTGTGGAGAAAACGAAGAACCTACAGATTGTCTAGATCCTTGTTTGCCGACGTGTTTGCAGCCTTACCATGTAACTTGCAACTTCTTTGTGTGTAACGAAGGCTGTCAGTGTAAACCAGGTTTTCTTAGAAGTGGACCTGGAGAGTCATGTATAGCTCCCACAGAATGTGGAGGTAATTAAATGATTTTATATTCGAAAATCATATTTAATTCCGTGCAAATTTCTAGCTTATTGTCTAGAAAATCAAGAATATACATCTTGTGGAAGCGAATGTCCTGATACATGTACTGTAAGAAATCAGAAGTGTACCGACAACTGTGTAATGGGGTGTTACTGCAAGAAAAATTATATCCTTGATTGGCTTATGGGTGAATGTATCTTAGAAGAATCATGTTTTCTTGCAAGTTAATAGCAGTATTTAAATCTTTTTTTTTATGTTAATTATTGAGTAATAAATGTATGTTTCCAGTCAAATACATTTTTTTCCATAACACAGAATTTTAGACTGTATTCACCTTCTCCGTTTTGCAGGGCCCAAAATTTTTTAACGTCTTAATCCTTGGTAACATTGGCAAGTTATTCCCATTTTCTTTGCAATTTTAAACAGTGCAACTTAGTAGAAAAAAGGAGAGTAAGTTTGTAAACGTTAAAATTTATAATTATTAAACAAAATTCCGGGGGGAAAGTTTATCACTACTCTGACGCACTGTTTAAACATTAGGTACTGTTTACAAAAACAAAACACTGGAAAGTTTAAACGCATTCTCCCAACTATAAATAAATCGATATGATAAACATAGATTTTTTTGAATCAAGCTTTCAAAAATATTCGAATATAGATAATTTGTTCCATGAAAGTTTAATAAACTAAGTATTATTTTAATTATAAAATAAATTGAAACGAATTAAATACATGCCAAAAATGAATATATTTTTGATCAGCTTATGGGTGAATGTATCTTAGAGCAGTCCTGTTTTGACATAAGCCAATAGTGATATTCCAATATTTCCAGTAAAGAATTTATTTTATTTTCGATAATTTATTTTCCTAAAGATTATTAGTTACAAAGATTTCAGAAACTGTAAAAAAATATACAGGCTGATTCAGCGTAAATGAGGAATTTGACTTGTCCCAATAAGCACCCCAAAATAATGTTAGGAAACATAGATGGAGCGCGTATTCGGCGGTAGACTGCGCGACTGCGCCAGCGATGACGTAGCTATGACGAAGACGAACGTCACACTCATGGCTGGTCGGTTGTCCGCGCGCGTGTATCTAAGTTCACTGTAATGTATATTTACTTGTGTTTGTATAATAAATGTGTTAAACTGGTGTTCGTGTTTTCGTTCCACGTGCCTCATATAACTAACAAATACATGTTTCTTTTGTTGCTCGATTCATAATAGAATTTAAAAAATATCATGAATCTAAGTTTGTATTCATGTCACTGTCAATTTTGAGCAGACAAATTTGTACGCCCAGAAATATCCCAAACGTAGACATCCAACAGATAAAATTTTCAGAAGACTTGAAATTACATTATGAAACATTTGGCCTGTAGGTACACGAAAAAGTGTTTCAGCCGCTACACATTTGAACAACGAGATCTGAGTTTTGGAAACTGTTTGTTTTTCACATTGAACAATGGGCAATTGCGAGAGAAATTGGCGTAAGTCAATCTTCTGTTAGTCGGATGTATGCAGTTAGTTCATGAACTACGAGAGACTGACTTTTCATGAAGATTGACATTTGCAATTTTGTGCGGGAACACTTGCTAAATTATCTCAATTTTTTGAGGGACATTTTATTTAGTGATGACTGATGAGTCTAGGTTTTCCAACAATGGAACTGTAAACAAACACGGTCAGAAAATCCACGATGAATTCGTGAAACTCATTTTCAGAGAATTATTTCCATCAACTTTTATTTTAAACGTAATGCCTTAGAGTGACACTTTGCTTTGACATTTTCAAAACCACAAACTTCGTGGATTTGTGACATTTTTGAAATTTTAATGTTAATCAAGGAATAAATGAATTATGTATTTCTAGTTGCCTCTATCTACAAATCTCATTCGTCACTTAGGCCGAATCACCCTGTATCTCTATATGATAATAAGAATGATAATAATAATAATTTTATTCATACGTTACATCCCAGACGGAATATTTGTACATGTCGGGAGAAGTATATCATATAAATACATGTAAAATTTATAAAATACAATAATTACGATGTAAATAAAAACAGACAACATGAATACAAACATTTTACTACAAAACACAGATTTGTCTTCCAGAAGTTCGTCATAACCAGTGTTGGGGACAGATACTTTTAAAAGTATCTAGATACAGATGTAGATTTATGGAAGATAAAAGTATCTAGATACAGATTTTTTTGATTTTTTCTATCTAGATACAGAACAGAAGAAAACAGATACTTTTTGAAGGCTTGGCGAATAAAATAACTGAAAACATGTTTATGTATTGTTTAATAAATTGTTTGAGTATATCTAATACTTAGTTATCTCCAGCATTAAAATTAATATTTCAAAAGAATACGGGAAATTATTATTCTGTGCTGAACCTGTCATAAATTATTATTCTTCAATATCGGCTTACGATTCTTTTATGACCATGTCCGGTAATCGTCTATCCCGGTGCGGCAGGTATTTATTTTAGGTTCCGTTTAATAAGGCAAAATAAATACAATTTCTTAGAAAGGTATTTAAACCCCTTATAGGATCAAAGGCTGCCTGGCAGGCCGGAATCACCAAAGTGCAACTTTAAATTTTCAGATTTTTGTTGAAACTCATTTCATTTTAATCTCGTTTCACGATTTCTGAGAATATATCACGATAAATTATTCAACCGAGAGTTGTAAAAATATTAAATTTATTGCCCAAGATTTACACTTAAACATAATCGGCACATTCTAGGGCAAAAGCCCGTCTCACGTTAGGTCCAACGTCCAACAATGAAAAAGTGAAGAAATGACACATGTGGCAACAGGAAAAGATGCTAAATTTGTCTGAAAAATAAAGATATAAAACACTAACAAATATGCGATTTATGCGAGAGAAATGTATGTATTGAACATTCGATTAGTCGATTACAAAACTAATTTGTACTAATTGAAAAAATTAATCATTATGTAACACGCAATTATTATTTTCTAAAAATAATAACATACCTTAAACAAATATTTTTACTATTAAAATTACTCTTATTTAATAACACAAATACAACCAGGGGGCCTACCGGACCCGGGTTGCTCAGGTACACAGATAAAATGCATTGCCCCGATAAAACGCAGTGAATAGTGAATTGTGGTTTATAGTTTTTAAAATACCATCTTACCATCGCTTTGATTTATTACCCCTCAGGATTATATTTAAAGACGTATAAGTACTGAAGGCTACAATGTAGGAAATTATGGTATTTAAAATATGAAAATTTCCGTGACAGAACACTATTAGTGGACCTCTTACCTCTATTTTTGTTTATGTGACCAAAATCACCAACATCAAGTATCAAAAATTACTACTAGTATAACTCAACTAATAACTACTGAAAAAAAAGTGAAATAAAAAAATGTATCAGTGTCTGCGCCATTAATTTTTTATCTAGATACAGATATTTTGTGTTTAAAATCGATTTTATCTAGATACAGATACTAAATACCCAAAAATGTATCTAGATACTTTATTTAGATACAAGTATTTAGATACTGCCCAACACTGGTCATAACTGTAATAGGCACTGCTTATTAACAATTTTTTTATTGATTTATTAAAATTCTTATATTATATATTTTTTAAGGTATTGTGGAACCTTTTTACAAAATTTTATAGTGAAATAAATAACCGCATCCTATATTCCCTGGATAAGATTTTCTTTGCAGTATTTTCTCCATGAGTAACCCACTAGAGTTTAGAATCCAAACTAAAGCTCGGAAAGTTAGTGTTCGATTGAAAGCTGAGTGAGATCTCTACTTTCTTCAAAGTAAAGATTATCTTTGTTGATTTGTTAACATTCAGCACAAGATTGTTCTCTGTGAACCAATGTGGTATCATATAATACAGAATCAGAGTTTAATGTAGTTGGTAGGTCATTCACAAAAACTAAAAATAGGAGAGGTCCTAAAATGAAACCTTGGGGTACTCCTTAATTACTCGGAATATGGTACGGAAACGTTTTGTTAAATTTGACTAATTGTTGACGGTTCTCTAGATACGATTTTAATAATTTGCAACTTTCTTCAATATTATACGCAGATAATTACACATTAATCACAAATCATTATTACTAGTTTTAAAAGTGTGACAAAATTAATATTTGCTGCTTCTGAATCAATCATACGACCAAAGTGCACTCGGTAACCTTCAGATGTTAGACATGGACTTGAATAAATTTGGCTAGAACAAAAAAGACTATTCTCAAAAAACTGCATTTTGGAAGAGTGATTTTCATTTTTAAATAAAACTATTTTCCGATATTATTTTTTAAATTTTTGCCCAAAATCTCAGCTCTTATTATTAGAGATAGAAAGAAATGCTAAAACCTGAAGTTGAATGGTTCTCTAAGTAGCATTAATAAAAATTAGTCTCCTTTAAATATAGTTTTCTGTGACATACAACTTAGCTAATTTTAATCTAAGCAACTTAACAACTTTTTTTGTATTTCCAGCAACTCACGAGATATCGAGGAATACCCAGTTAGCGACTACCGTGTATTTAAAAATATATAAAATTTGGTAACCAAAATCGAATCACATTGAGTTAGTGCAGATTGATTGGTTTTTTGATAATTTTACTTAACTACTGAACAGATAACACTGAAATTCCAATCGATTCTTATTTTGACAACTCTTAGCTTCCGTATAAAATTTCATTAAAAAACTAACAGTCCTTCTTGTTTGTTGTTCTTTTACTTTTGTTATTTCGTACAGACTCGTTAATCTGTAGTTTTATATACACTACACGTATACATTCCTGTAACTTCGGTCTTGTGATATCAAAATCTGCAAAAATTTCCGGAAGGACATGCTTGATGCTGAAATATTTATCTAGTTTATTCTTGTTTTTTTTTTCCAGCGAAAAATTACAGCTGCGTAAATAACCAAGTAACATCACGTCATCTGGAAGGTAAAAAAATACGTTAAGGTCACGTTTGTCAGTTACCTTTATTTTACTCGTACATCTAGTCTTTTATCAAAAATGCAGTAACGTTTGAGAAAAACTATCCAGGAATCGGGAAGGTGTGGTTGTTTTCTAAGCCATTCTTTAATTGTTTCAAGATCCTGATTTCTAGTTTCAACGTTTTCATTGCATTTTGTTCTGATAAGCAGTTGCATTTCCTTGGTGGGTTTTTCTAGAAACATTGTAATAATGGAACACTTTTAGAGGATGCAGTAGTTTGAATGCTGGTGGTGGTACAACGACTCTTTGCATATATTAGACAAAAATCGACT